TGATTGCATATCTGTATATATCTATATGTAAGAGTTCATGTGTGTGTAGGCCTGGAGATTCGCTATGCCTGGCATCAAGGTGCCTCAGTCCGCAGGATTGTCAATTACATTGTCAATTATTGTCAATCACAATGTACTTGGGTCTTCATTTTCATAATAATGTCAGTTTGTAATACAAACACTGCTGTTTGGGCATATAGCTTAAAGGGGCTTTAGAGACAAAAGATCATCAGATAACATTAGCCTAAATAAAATAGAGTGAATAATATGCTTCTTTAAAATTGTATGCAGATATGTTATAGTCCAGGCTGTTGTGGAGAATTAACTCTCACAAAAAAAAAAACAAAAAAAAAAAAACATGATGTGCTTTGCCGGTGTGCATAATAATGTATTTTTGTTGCTGTTATTAGTGATGTTTGCCACCAAATGTTCCTCCTACTTTTACATAATTACCGGCTCTTGTTAAAGCCATTAAGCTTTGCAACGAATGCAAAGATGATTATAGTTGTAATTAGCTTCATGAGAGCAGTGAGCGGCAGAAAGAGATTACGCTCCATCCAAAACACATTCTGGTGAATGATTCTAAAGGCACACTCACTTCAAAAAAAGCATGAGGTTCCCAAGAGTCATTGAGACAAGCTGCCCTCTTCTGAAAGACCTGCAAATTTGCAAGAAACTTAAGATACAGTATGCAGTCCTCATAAAACAATTAGTCTGGAAAGCTTGATGGATAGTCTCGTCAGGATGTTGAAGTCAAAGAAATTTTTTATTAAATGTTCTCACGGCTTTATTACATATATATAAGAAAAGAATGAGAAATTTCATCAGAATGTAATAACTATATTTTTCTCTGAAAGAACCTTCTTTTTCCACAGACATCACAAATGGGCGGTAAAGTTCATAATGTTTACCAACAGCCAAATATCTATTGTGGCTGTAGTTTAGAATGTTCACCAACTGCTATTTAGGCTACTTCGTAATATTTACCAATGCCAAATAGCTATTGTGGCTAGTTTATAAATAGATCAGGCTAGTATTCAGGCTACTTTGTAGTTTAAAATTTGCAAAATTTTAGCTATTTAAAATGTTCACCAATAGCCAAATAGTTACAATGGATAATTTATATTGTTCATTAATAGCTTAGCCTACTTTGTAATGTTTACAATTAGCCAAATAGCTATTGTGGCTAGTTTCTACCCAGATAGCAAACTGACATTGAATCAACGTGGAAACGACGTCTCTCATGACATTGAAACAACGTTGATTTGCTCATCGAATTAACGTTGAACCAACGTCAGACGCGGCATTCTTCAAAGCTAAATGAAATCGAAAATTGGTTTGCTTTCATAACGTTGAAACAACGCGTTGATTTCAAGTTGATTTTCCGTTAGTTTTGAAAGAATGACGCGTCTGACGTTGGTTCAACGTTAATTCGATGAGCAAAACAATGTCAGATCAACGTTTCGATGTCATATTTCCACGTTGATTCAATGTCAGTCTGCTATCTGGGTAATGTTCACTAATAGCCAATTAGCAATCCAATTTATATTGTTGACCAATAGCTATGGGCTACTAAATAATGTATATCCATTAGCCAAACTGCTAATGTGTCTAGTTTTGTTCATCAAAAGCAAAATAGCTATATAGCTAACTTTAAGCTAACCTAAGCTCTATGTAAATCTAAACTCTTCTCTTGTTGACATTCTGTCTACTAAGAAATGCATTCAACTAAATAAAATGTGTCGCAAACAGCAATTCACATTGAACTCCAATATATCAAATACTAGCCTACCTGAAACCACCGGTGTACCATGGCATAATAACTGCAGTATTTTTGTCAGAAGGGTAAACACAACATTGGAAATAGAGTTTCAAACCAGTTTAGGTTTTCGGGAACAGACATCTGTCGAGTTATTGTGTGACTGTAAAGCAGCTGTAGCGAGGTTCTGTACTTAATGTGTACATCAAATGCGAGAGCAGATGTAGCGGTGTTCACTAGGTGTGTAAACAGAGTGGGTGAGCCGCTCTCAGTGTAAAAGTAGCTCAGAGCAGATGGTCCGGTTATGGCAGCCAGAGAAGTGAAGTCACAGCAACTTCAAGCAGCAGCTGCCCCTTTCATGCTGAAATATGACCTACTGCTAAGCTTTTACATTCAGAATCCAAACCTGATGCAGTAAAAATGAGATTTCAAAGATTTCAGTGTAATGAACAGGGCATTCAAAGCTTGGGGGTCCAGAGAGAAGTGGAGCAGAGGGAGCGGGGTGCACTTACAGACGGCGTGGATGAGTAAACCATGAAGAACATATTGTATGAACAGAATGGCAAACGCAGACATGAAAGAAACTTAGAGCTGAGATAGCAGGAGATTATGCTCGTCAACATTGTTGTGGACTGGAGCCAAGGAGGTGGGGTGGCATCTGTGACTAACTTTGAAGTTTGCGTATAAATATGTGCGTGTTTCCCACCAGTTCCTTTGATGTACTGTGTATTACACTGTTTTCTGTGTAACAAAGATGTGAAGTGTACAAGAATCCTTGACATTTAGACCCATGGGTGATTCCTAACTGCGCACAACAAGTAAAGCAGTGCCTCAAAAAACTAGATGAGAAAATAATCCACAGTACAACTAATACAAAACAATGCAGATATTACAAAATATTATTCACTATTCCAAAATTAGTGCATATTTTTCTAAAGTGACACTGTCCAACAGTGACACCGGTGACTAGTAAAAAGAGTACCCGAACATTAGTTAACAAATAAAATGTATTTATTACTTCATTCTTTTTGTTATTATTTTGGAATAAATGTAAAAATGATGAGAAAACTTGATAACTATACTAAATAGATCAATAATTACTTTGTAAATATGAAAATGTGTCAAGATTAAAGGGTTAGTTCACCCAAAAATGTCTTTGTTTCTTTTCTGGACAATATCGTATTTCTAATGGAGGGACAGAAAGCTCTCGGATGAAATCTAAAATATCTTAAAAAGAGTTCATTTTTGGGTGAACTAACCGTACTGGTGCATTATTCTGCAAAAAAAAAAAAAAACTGCCTCCATATTTCAGAACACCACTGGATAATAATTAGATATGATGTATAGATTAGATGGTGAATTTTGTAAATAAATATATCTTTATTTCTTGCAACTGCGAATTTACTTCTTGTATTGTGACAATTATTTCGCTGTTATTGTTTCTTTTTATTTCCCATCTCATAAGAAAATGTTGCTAAAGTTGCTCATTTTGAATGAATTCATATGATTTAATACAAAATGCACACACATAAATACATAAATTATTTATTTATTTATTTATTTATTTATTAGTAGCAGCTGTTTACATAGACTAGAACCATAACAGAGGCAGGTGTGATTTGTCAGGGAAGCTATTTTGAATGATCTCTTGCAGGTAATTGGGACATTTTATGTGTCGAATTCAGAAAAATTGCTTTAAGCTCTTTTAAGTTACAGAATCATGCTGTTTTTACAGATTATGTTGGGAAAAGCCTGTTTTACATAAAAGCAATGTGTACCCTCAAGTGGTGTAGTCGTATCATTACACTCTTTTTGGAGGCGGTTTAATTTTCTCAGATACTGGACCTGTGAGTCCCATTTACCTCCTGTTGACCTTATCTTTAGTCCTGTTATTATGGCTGTATGTAATCTGCTCCTCTCAGCACCCTTTTTATGTTCTTTATCTCAGCTTCTCTCATTAAACGCATCATAATTGAGCTTCAGTTAAGAACTGAGACCCACGATTGTGCCTCCTAATGTTTAAATATTGTGTGGCTACATTGTGTTGAGCTCTAGAAAGATCATCTAAGCTCAATATCACAGATAATCAATCTCTGACAGTCGCTGACACAGAACACCCTGTCTCCATCCCTGCCTAGACAGGCGCCCGTCAGACACTGTCCTCACTGGTATAGTGGTGTCTTTTAACACAGGATGAGAAAAGATTGGCAATGTGTTTGCTGATATTTGCTTCCAATTATTGCATACTACTGATTTCCCCTGACTCTCAACTGAACCACATCAAATATTGTATAGTCTTTTGAAAGACTGAAAAATAAGCCCTAATGAATTTGTTATTTAATATTAGATTTTTGGGAGCAAAATGAGTATTTTAATGTGGAATAATATACATTTGTCCAAATAAATGTGAAATAATGCGATTATGTCCACATAATTGAATAAACACATTAGGATGTTGCAATGTCATTGACAGAGATGGTATTTTAATTACATTTTTTAATTACATTACTTTTGAGTAGGCTATTTTGTAATTTGTATTTTCAATAACAAAATTAATTAAATGTAATTTGTAAATAAATACTTAGGGAGAATGTAATTTGTATTTAAAATACTTGAAATACTTATTTAAATATATAATTTTATTTCTTTTTGAAGGCACTTTTACGATGGATAGAGGCACTTTGATGGACTTCTAAAAATATACAGTCATTCACTGCCATTATAAAGCTTGGAAGAGCCAGGACATTTTTTAATAAACTCCAATTGTATTCTTCTGAAAGAAGAATGTCATATACATATACATATACGAATTTTCATTTTTCTGTGAACCATCCCTTGGACCAATGGACATAAAATACAAATAGGACTAACAAATTGCCTTTCACTGTTTTTGGCAAGAAAATCACGTGATGTGACGCATCTTATTGACCCTGTTCACATTTCCGGGTTTCTCAGAAGTGGAAGGCGTCATAGTTGGGTAGCAGTGAATGAGAGACTACATAAAATTATATACATATATATTTGTTCCCATTTGCTACAGTATTTGCTATATAACATGATATCAGTCTGGTCAACTGATCCCTTCCCTTGTTTTCTCTTTCTCTTTCTCTTTCTCTGTCCAACCCCCCCTGTTTATTATCACTTTCTACATCTGAAATATAATCTATATAATTTCATCTCTGTATATTCCAGTTTCATACTATCTCTTCTTTCCTTTGTTTCTGCATCTGCTCCTCTGCAGGTACATCCGAACAATGTATCTCGGCATCCAGAGCCGCAGGCAAAAGGAGAACCAGCGACGCTTCTACTGGGCCATGATGTACGAGTATGCCGATGTCAACATGCTCCGTCTACTGGAGACATTTCTGGAAAGCGCTCCACAGCTAGTTCTCCAGCTCTGCATCATGATCCAGAAGAACCGGGCAGAAACACTGCAGTGTAAGGAGTGCCTCAAGGCTCTGTACTGGGACTGCTGACATTTCGTACAGTATTGCTTTTATATATCAGTAGTGAATGTTCTTTGCATGTGTACATTTAACTGGGATCATTTTTAAATCTTGACAAGAACATTATGACATATTTTATACTTTTCAGTAGATACAGTATATTTATTTTTATAATTTCAGTAGTGAGAGTGTTAAATTGACTTAAATGGATAGTTCACTTTGAAATTCATTTTTGATATGTTTTAGCTTACCTCAAGGGCATCCAAGATGTAGGTGTCTTTGTTTCCACAGCATTTTCAATTTTGACATTTTTTGGTCAAACCGTTGTTGTCTGTCAGTCCTATAATGCAGTTTTAGGGGGTCCACCTCAAAGAGCATGCACAGAGAAGTCAAAATTAAACATGATTTAATGACTTGTAAATGTAAGTACACATTGATGGCCTAAGACATGAAACGAGCGATTTGTGTGAGAAAACGAACAGTATTTATATCGTTTTTAGCTCTTGTTAACAGCCGTCAAACTGATCTGAATCAGATGTCCAACTGAACCGAACTGAACCGTCAGACGTTACGCCGGAAGTGATCTCTCGTGCGTCTACGTCACGCATTGTTTACACTGAGATTTCGGAAGTTTTACCTTTCGCTAAACATATTTAGATATATCGAAATCGTCTTCCATTGCGATTTCCCGTATATCTAAATATGTTTAGTGAATTTGCTTTAATTTGCTTTGCAGTGGTGTTGGATATTTTTCACATGCATTGCATGCTCAATCAACATTTCTTGATTAGAAAATCTTGCTGGAAATGCATCTTTAATTTTTTATGAGTGCAACTCAAGACTCAGTAAAACTGAGATGCATGGCCAAAATTCGCAGTTAGGTTTGTGACAACAAAATATGATCTACTGGATCTCACAGCTTTGTGTTATATTAATACATCAAGTCCAGCAGCCATCTAAATCTTTCAGAAAACCAAGCAAATCATGGCAAAACTATACAGTGCATCAGGAAAAAAAGGCTGACTTGTGGACAAATCTAACAATCTGAGCCCTCCCTGGCTAAGCCCTTTTAAATGATCAATTGTGTTTGTGGGGAACATGTTTTTTTTTTTCTTCTTGCCGTGCAGCTGATAATGTGAGATGTAAGACCATTTCTTATGTGTGAGGTGACAGCACTGCAAGCAGTGCAGAGGAAGTCTGAGCTCAGCAGGATGAATGGTAAACATCTTAGAAAAAAGATACATATAAGCAAGAGATGTGTTTTGGAGAATATAGCTCCATAAATGGTAGACAGGTGTTATGGAAATGATAAGACAATGATTGATGCTGTTGTACTGTATGTGTTAGGGTGCTTTTCATTAGCATTCCTGGATACAGATAAAGTCATTTATCACAGTACACATACATTGTGTTCGATTTTGTCCCCCCCACCCCCACCCCCCTCTCATAAAAGACAGATTAACGTAGATTATTTGTAATTTGGGAAATTTGGAAACTGGAATTCAGAGCACGCTTTCATGCAGTTTTATTGTGGTTCTGGATGTTTCTCTATTTATCATGTAAAAATACATAAGCAAGGTTTTGGGTCAATAATGTTTTTAAAAGTAGTCTCTTATGCTCACCAAGGCTGCATTTATTTGATTGTTACATTGTTTCTAATTTAACATTTTATAATTATTGTGTTTTTTATTTATTTAATAATGATTAATATTTTTTTTTAAAATATAATCATATACTAATTACAAATATTAATAATCAGTGATAGCAACTGCAATAGTATAGCAATGATACTTTATAAATCTTATAATAATAATAATAGATTTTTTATTTCTCTGTTGTCCAGGTGTGTCAGCGATCGCGTCTCTTCTCTCGCTTTCCTGGGTTCTGGCCTCATACCACAAGCTTCTGCGTGATTCCCGCGATGACCAAAAGAGCATGAGCTACCGGGGAGCGTTGGTGCATCTTCTGTGGCGTTTGTTCACCATTTCATCTCGGGCGCTATCTTTTGCCCTTTTTGCCTCGGTTTTCCACCTATACTTTGGCATTTTTGTGGTGCTTCACTGGTGTGCCATGGCCTTCTGGGTAATCCACGGAGGCACCGACTTCTGTATGTCCAAGTGGGAGGAGGTGCTATTCAACATGGTGGTCGGCGTAGTCTACGTCTTCTGCTGGTTTAATGTCAAGGAGGGAAGGACCCGATACCGCATGGTGGTTTATTATTCACTGGTGCTGGTGGAAAATACCATCCTTACCGCTCTGTGGTACACCTACAGAGACCCGGTCGCTACCGACTCCTACGCTGCATCCGCCCTCTGCGGCGTCTTCCTGTGCTTTGCCTCTGGAGTGGCCTGCATGGTCTTCTATTACGGGGTCCTGCATCCCATGGGACCCGGGCTGAGGGTGCTGGCCAGCTCCTGCTGTGCCGAGCTGCTCTGGGGTCTCCCGTTACCACCAGAGGCCGAGCCAATGGCTCCCACTCCGGGGCCTCGGGGCTCCCAAGCCACCCCGACCAGGGCTATGGCTTCAGGGGACTACAGCGAGCCGGAGGAGGCTGCCACAGACACATGCCTGCCGGTGTTCCAGGTGAGATCCACGGAGCCCACCGATGCGGCGGGCCGGCCCATTCACCCCGAGGGGCCCCTGATCAAGATCGACATGCCCAGGAAGCGCTATCCGGCTTGGGATGCTCACTTTGTGGACCGACGTTTGCGGCGGACCATAAACATCCTCCAGTACATCAGCCCCAATGCAGTGGGCATCAGGTACAGGGATGGACCCCTCCTCTACGAACTGCTCCAGTATGAGTCCTCCCTATAAAGGCGCACAATGCCGCTTCTTCTCTACTCTCATGCCCTCTCTGGTTCTCCACTTCCCTTGGTGCTTTTTTATTTAGTTGTACTCTTGAGCTATAAGAGTGCATCTAAGGTCTAAAAGAGTCTAAACAGAGAATATTCAACATATATTTTGACTAACACAGTGTAGAGTTGCAGAACAAAGAGTCCGAAATACAACATTCCCTTGTTGGGGTTGCTACGGTGTGAATGTTCGACTAATGTGTTTGTTTGATGGTGTTTGTGGCCCTGTCACCTCTGACATGTGCATGGTGGGAATGATGGAGGAACATACACTCTAAAAAATGCTGGGTTGTTTTAACCCAATTTTGGGTCAAATATGGACAAACCCAAAATGTTGGGTTAAAAATGTAATGTAAAAATTTAACCCAACGGCTGGGTTAGTCCATATTTGACCCAAAGTTGGGTTAAAACAACCCAGCATTTTTTAGAGTGTAGTCTTTAGCATCCTCATTCTGATTTTGGCTTTTACCATTTTGTGCCTACGTTTTTCCAAACAGTTGTGATGACAACTGATCTTAAAAGACGGCAAACAAGTGAATATCAGCTAGACACTAATAAAGCACATTTGATTGTCAGAAAAAGCACACGATGCCCCATTTCATTTCTCTTGTGGTTAAGGGGGAAGAGACTTGAAATTGTTGTCAAATTGCTTTAAAAAATGAACAATCGTTCTTTCGAGTAAAATACAATGATGTCAAGTAAACATTTTGGTGTTGGCATACCATATTGCACTGCCATTGCTATTTTGATCTTCAAGGGCCTTAATATTTATCTTAACATGTCTTTTCCTATTGAAACTCACTAGTGATGTGATATCGAATATATGAATTATATATTTACATATGGCCCACTGTTATATTTTTTAACCCATCTATATTACGTGTGAGAGCACTTTATGAAAGCTAGATTGAATAAATGGGATATATTTATTTGTATTTATATACACTATCGTTTAAAAGTTTGGGGCCAGTAAGATGTAAAGAGGTTTAAATTGTTACAAAATATCATGTTTTACACAAAAATATTAAGCAGCACAACTAACTGTTTTCAACATTGATAGTAATGATAGGCTACATGTTTCTTAACCTGTTAAGTGTCACCCCCCTTACATGAAACTGCACATTTTGAACGTGCATTTTTGAATGGTTGTAATTCAAGAATGCTTTGGAATATAGATGTAAGATTGAATAAATTAAGAAAGTAACAGAAAAAAAGTTATAATTATAAGTTTGAGTTTATGAAAATGTACAATGTAAAAAAAACGATTAATATTTTTTATAAAATATATATATTTTCAAAATCTAGGCAACTCTAAAACTGCAAAAAAAAAAAAAAAGCCAAAAATCTGAATAAGTTGTGATATCTCAAAAAATTAGCTTTCAGTGAGATTTTGAGATTTCACTAGATCACAACCAGACTCCATTACTGCCCATATAAGGGCTCCTCCAATTCCATATGTGTTTTGAGTGATCTGAAACATTATTTCCACAATTTTCATACAATTTATGAAGTAGACATCCTATTCAGAAGTAATATGATAAGTTTGGCAGATTTTGATATGAATTCAATCTCTAAGAAACACATAAAATAGAACAAGTATGTGCGTTATAGCTTGCTGCCACATCACAAATGGTGAATCTAATTTCAGACCTTTTTTTCGAAAATAATTAATAGTATGCTATATTTTGAACTCTTGGCATGAAAACAAACTGAGGTTTCTACCCTTCTTTCATGATTTTTCATGTTCATCACTATTTCAAAATAAAGGTCTAAACACTCCTTAGGAGTATGAAAATAATATTCTTGTTGCAAAATTACGGCTCCTCTGTAATTAATTTTTTGAAATCATGTATCATATGAAAGCTTTTTAAATGATATATAGTTTGTCAAGATTAGTTTAGGTTTATAGGATATTACTATTTTAAAATGTATTGGATTTGGACCCAACTGTGGTGACACTTAAAACCAAATCAGCATATTTGAATGGTTTCTGAAGGATCATGTGACATTGAAGACTGGCGTAATGATGCTGAAAAATTATATACAAAATAAATTACAATAGACAACAGATATTTTCAATATTTCACAATATTATGGTTTGTTATGTATTTTTGAATTACTTATCAAATAAATCCAGCTTTGATGCGCATATAAGAGAATCTTACTGACCCCAGACTTCTGAATGGTAGTGCATTTTTTCTTTTTACATAACCCCCTGTTATATTTTTTGAAACCCATAAATAGTACATGAGAGAGTGCACTTGTTGAAAGCTAGAAATAAATCGATATTTTCCCATAAATAAGTCCTTCCATACAGAAATACACAGATATAAAGACAAAATAATAAGACTCTGTTAAACGTTTTGTCATATAACACAAAACTATTATTTTTTTGAGGGTTCGATCATGTAGAAACACACATTTAAGATAACAACTGCAGGTTACTAGTAACCTCACAGTGTTGTAATGAAATGTTTGCAGTGTGTGGTGCTTAATGCTAACCTTTAGTACTCCTCCATCATTCCCTGTACAACATAGCATTTGTCTGTCCACTTAAACTTTTTCCTCAGAAAAAGGCTAATGGTTTCTTAAAGGGTCAAGAACCTTGACAAATTTACATGTGTAAATGGTATTCGCATTCAAAATGTACAATAATAATTCCTTTATTTGAAGTGTGCAATATTTTTGAAGATATACTATGAAATGATTGGAGAAAAGGGTTGCTTTTGCCTGAATTAAGTTTATACACCACCATCGAATGCATGCCGAGGTTGCACATAATGAGGATTGACTGGATTGCCAGGTGCCAACCAATGAATGAGGCTTTCTAAAGTGCAAGATAATTCAATTAAACGTCCCGTTTTTTATGATTTTTTTCCTTCATTATCCTATACGGTGCAATCAGAACAACACTGAGGGTTACCTCTATAAAAAGCCCCTCGTTTACCTCGAATGCTGAGGTAATTTTCCCCCAGATTTCATTGATTCATTTGAGAATGAATGAATTGCTCTGAGGGGGCTAAGGTCATTTTTGTTGTTCCGACACTCAGCATCCAGGCAAGATAAGTGCAGGCATTAACATGGGATGCCAAGTTTCACCGCATGAGCTGCTGCAAACCTCATTCGTGCCTGCTGCAATTTTCCCAGCAGACTTCAGATGGGTTGTAGCGGACGAGGTGGAGGTTTTTATTATTTATTTATTTATTTCGCCAGGGATGGAAAAGAACACGAGGATAGACAGTAGCTGTCAGTGAGTCTTACCTCTTCGGCTCCATCCTTGGTTGCTGCTCAGCCTCCTCCACCCCTCTCATGCGAGGGCTATCTTGGCCTACTCGGATGCAAGAAAATAAGGAAAGATTGCTTTCAGGATAGCAACTTAGATTTATAACCTGGCTAAAGGGAATCAGGGATGGGTAGGTGATTTCATGCAAGGAATTCTAATTCCTAAACATCAAAATTCAGTAATCCTCGCAATATCAGGTTTTTAGTTAAACTATAAACTATATACAAAGCGTTTCTGTTCCCTGTTCCCTTCCAGTGCCTATAACAGTCACCGATATTCCAACCCTGTAGGTGCTTGGCACATTGATGCACTGTTGTTTGCTGGGATTATCACCAACCCTGTTATGTTATGATGTGTACGGCTACTTTAACTTGTTTTTACGGTTGTGTGACTCGGCTGCCTGGCATCCCATGATACGTTCATCGTCCAATTACAGAATCGGTTTCTACTAACGCACTTGAGGTAAGACAGACCAGGTGATATTTTCAACTACACTGTGATATTTCCTTCTATTATTCCACTTGCGCATTAGCATGATGTGTAGTGACCAACATTGCCACGTTTGAGCAGACATAAAGGGAGGGATTCGAAACAAATCCAACCCCTGTACAGCACACGTATGATCGTGAATTGGTTCCTTTTAAGATTACCGCCTTACTAAGAAGTTACACATCAGATAAGTGGATGTTAAAGTCATGCCTCCACCTGTACGTGACTAGTGTGGGGTGGGTGTGTGGGACCAGTCTCTAATATCTAATTCTTTGTGGTGCCTTGTCTTTTTGGGTGCTTCTGTATAGCCATGGCAGCCAGTGCAGCAAACAACAATGCCAGTGTCTCTATCTCCATTCAAATTTCACTCAGTACTGTAACGAGACAGACGATTTCCCGAAAAAGACCGGTTCCATTCAGTCGTTCACAAGGGTTTTATGAGCAGATGCGAAAAAGGAATGAGGTTTGTTTGGGTACTACATGACAGTTCTGATGAAGTTAGCAATTTCTTTAATGATTGTTAATGTACTTCTGTCTATGCCTTCCTCTGTCTTGCAAAACGAATGAGCTGTAGTGCCAACAAGTTAATCTTTTCTCTCTGTCGTTTGTCTTGTGAACAAAAATGTCTAGCCAAATGGATTTATGCCTGCAAAAAACAAAAAAAAAAAGAAGAAGAAGAAAAAAAAAAACGTGTGTAGACCAATAAGAATAGAAAAAGTGGGGTACGTAAATATGGTGCTCACTGGATCGAATATTTCAACTTAAATCTGAGATGGCATTGGACACATTTTTAAAGGCCTCTAGTGGTGAACCATCTTCAGACTGCTTCTACAGTACATCCTTTGGATTTTTAGCATGTCCACAAAATGCATCCTATGGTGACCCCTCCAACACACTTGCATGTTTTCCTCAATGCAACGTCCCACCCATTGCTCCAGGGTTGTCAAAGAGCATCTATGGTCATCAAATCCAGTTGTGTACAGCGGTTCTGCAATGATTGGTATTGAAAAAGAGCCAAATGTTCTGATGACAAAACAACCACAAAACGGTGCATTTTTGTTTCTTGACCTGGTGCTTATCAACATATTCTAAAGGTGCTACCACACATGTGGACTGCAGGACCCCTGTCGTGGCTCACTAAGCAAGGCCACCGTTCCGATAGACCTGCCTCTTTAAGCTCACGGACACTCTCCTCTCTGGAAGAACAAGCACCTCAACACAGTTTACAGCCAACATCTCTCTTTGAAATATGGTGCCATGTATTATGTTTCAACCTGCACAAAGAAGCATTGGTGCAGAAAATATCTTAATTTTTTACTTCTTCCCCAAATTTCGGTTCATTTTTATGTATATTTGTTTAAAAAAAATGTTTAGGTGTTTAAAATCTGCACTAGGATTTTTCGTAAGTGGAAAAAAAAAGATGAAAATGCATCATTTTGACATTCATCCAGGCCTAAAGGTACTTCTGATAAAAAGGGATCGCTAAACAAAC